TTCAGCCACAGCGGAACTTCTGGATGGACGGGCACAGAGGGGAGGGAATAGTGGCCTCCGGTCCGTGCGGGGAGAGGAGGGTGGTCTGGCTTCTGCGTAGACAGCTCACTATGGTCTCTCCAGGGAGGGCGGCTCCTGTAGGTTCCAGAAAGACCCAGATCAGGATTACGTGCGGACTCTGGCGGCCGTGGCTCCTGACCGCACCTGGTGGCTGTGGGCTCTGCCACGGCTCTTGGAATCTGCGGGGCCCTCGGGAGCCGCCTCGACCTGCAGCCCCGCTTTGTGTCCGGGCCCTCGGCTGCCGTAGCGCAGCACCACGGGCTGGGGCTGACGTCCGAGGCCAGGGGCTGCCTGCTCGCCATGTCTTCACACGATGGAGCGGGGAGAAGGCTCTGGAACTGCCTTTCTACAAGGACACTGATCTCATCCCGGGGCCCCACCCTCACGTCCTCCCCTGACCCCGGTCACCCCCAAAGGCCCTTCTTCCCAAGGCCGTTCCCCCGGGCCCCAGGGCGTCACCATGTGAGGTGTGGGGGAGACACCAGCCCACGGCGCACCAACAGCAGAAGCTGAAAAGCTTCCCCTTGGAAACTCGGGATTTAAGGTCTTTCTGTTGGTGAGAACACGGTCTTGCCTCCGCCTCCAGCCTGCCCGCCAGGCATCCCCCGGCGCGAACGACCTTCCCCGAGCCAGAGAGCGCCCACCTGGCTGCGGGGAGGACGGCTCGTGCTCTTAATTAGAAACCCAGCAGCGCCCTTTGCCTTGACAGGCAGCTTGTCCACGCGCACTCGGTCCAGCAGCCCTCAATCCTGACTACGCTGGGGCGAAAATCAGCCTGTGCATGTGCACACGGCTGCACCCAGCCCTGGACAAAGATGCTGGAAACTTCCCAGCTCTCTGTCCTCCCCGTCTGGCTGGGCCCCGAGGAGGGAAGGGAGGACAGAGGAGGAGCTGGGTGAGGGTCTGGGTTGGGGAGGGTGAGGGTCAGGGGCACGGGGCTCTCGGGAGGACCGGAGGACGGGGTCCGGTCCTCGGAGCCTCTGCACGTGGCGGCCGGCAGCTCACGAGCTGAGTGAGCTGTGAGCAGGAGCCCTTTTCCGAATTTCCGTGTTTCCATTCGCAGTTTTCTGCCCTAGGAAGTTACTTTTCACCCAATCCTCTTGAAGACTGCGTGTGGGGCCAGGGCGCCGGAGGTGAGCTAGGCAGAGGTGGGGCTGGGCCTGTGCCGGCAGCGACCGCTCCCAGGGCGTCCGTCTTCTTCTGGAGTGAAGGGAGCTTAGCTTCTCTGAGCAAAGAAGCCTCCGCCAAGACCCCTCTCTTCTCCTTTCCTGTCGTTATTGTGTCTTTTTCCCGTTAAAAGTGCTTGTGTTTACCTTACACAAACTGTTCTCCAAAATCAGCTGTTCTGAAACCTACATAGAATCTAGACCGAGCGATACAGTGACCCCGGAAAGGACAAATCGATGAGATCGATGTGATTTGTGTTCTCGCCCGTGTGTTTCCCGGCTGCTCCCTGGTCACTTAATGCTGGTGGCTCCCCGGGGACGCTGGCTGCGCTGACAGTATTGATCGCCCTGGCAGGATGAGGGGCGGGGGTCCCCGAGGACGCAGGGCCACCCCGGCACAGCCAGGTACAGAGGCACGCCCTCCGCGGGCCTTTGCTGCTTCTCTGGGCCACACGTCTTGGCATCGGTGCTGGTGGCGCTGAGATGCCCAGGGTCCTCCCGTGCCCACAGCCCCAAGTCCCAGGAGGGATGTGCCTCCTGCACTCCCACACACACTTCCTGGGGGACGGGAGAAGGGAGCCCTGCCTGGACCATCGGGGACCCTTCTATGAGGCCGTGGGTCCCAGTTCTGCTACTGCATAGCTGTGTGGCCTGGGGAAGGTCACTCAGATTCTCTGTGCCTCAGATTTCTTCTCCGGAGAGGGAGCGGGGCTGCGGGGACTGCCCGCCGAAGAGCGCAGGACGTGGAAAGCACGACCGCTTCTTTTATGGTATTGAAAACACCTGCTTTCATCCGAGCACGCGCGTCACTGAGCAGGTGTGCTGAGTTCCTGGCTGATCAGGAAAACTTCACGTTCGGGAAGCCCAGCAGGGAGCCCTGTTGGCAATCGGGTCCTCGTGGCCGTGATGAGGCAAGGATCTCCACGAGAGCATCCCGGGTGGGGGCGGGCCCTAAACCCAGGACTGGCGACCCCGTATGACGAGGAGAGAGCCCAGAGGGAGGCCGCGGTCATAGCCCCGGAAGCTGGAAGAGGAAAGGGCTGGGGGCTCCCCCAGAGTCTCCGGGAGAAACCGACCTGCAGATCCCACGCCGTGGCCGCGGGGACAGGCTTCTGTCCTTCTCAGGCAACCCAGTCCGGTGGTTCCCGGGAAGCCGGCAGAGGCTGGTTCCCCATTTTCCCTCGAGGCTGGAGTGTCAGCAGGGTCACCGGCAGGTAGGGGCGGAAGCTCTGGCCGCGTCTCCTGGGCAGTGGTGGGGAGGTGGTGGGGGACCAGGCTGGAAGCAGGTGGCCGAGGTGGGACCCCGCACCCGTGGCAGGGTTAGGGGCAGCTCCAGCAGGAAGGCTCTGAGGCTGAGCCTGCGTTCCCCCTGCCGCTTCCAGGTGTCTTGGGGTCCCGTGGATGGTGCCCTCATCTCCGGCCCTTGGACCAGACCCCTCTCCTTGCTGCTCTGCCCTGGGGCTTCTCTCTGGCCGTAGACCTGGTCCTGCCCTTTCTGAAGGGGCCTTAGTCGAAGGCCCCTGATGGTGCGGCAGAGTCCCCAGTCCGGTGTGGGCTGTCAGTCCTCCGCGGGGCTGCCCCTGACCCCCGCCCCCAGGTGCTCCTGTGTCGCTGCCTCAGCGGGGTCGGCAGTCTCCCCGGGTGTGTCCCTAGCGGGGAGTCCTGTCCTGCGCCCGGTGCCTCCCGGGATGGCAGTTTGAGCGTCTGCAGTCCCGTCTGTAGGACGGACAGACCTCAGGGAGAAGAGCCCAGGGAGGGCTTCTTGGGATGACGGTGCCCAGTCCTGCAGAACATTCCCCTCCTGGGCAAGGTGACATCCAAGTGGCCCTGTGACCCACATACCCGGGAAAGAGTCCACTTCCTAGAGGGGTTGGTGCAGGGGGAGCTGACGTGTATCTGTGCCTCCTTCCTGCTGGGAACTTAGGTGCAGGCGCGATCCTGTTCTAGCGTCGCCACCAAGCTGCTCCATGTCTGTCACGTGACACGCTGGCCTGAGGTTCAGAAGGTCACCCGGCCGCCGGGAAGCTGGGCAGTTGACCCTGCCGCGGCCGCGTCTTGGCCTGAGTGGGCTTTGGGGATGTCGGCCTGCCTGTTGCCAGCCTGGCTCGTGCAGGGTCAGCGTGGGCCCTCAGCGGGGGACGGACCCTCCTTCCGCAGGACGGCCGTGGACGTGGAGGAGCCATGCTCGCCACCCACGATCCCCCAGGGGGAGGAAGACCCTCTTTCCTGGGCTGGTCGGGACCCGGAAGGGGAGGGGCAGCCCCCCACCCCCACCCCCCACCCCCACCCGGGCCCGTGGCCGTGAGCTTGTGGGTCACCTGGCAACTTGCCCCTGCACCAACGACCAGGCCGGGGCCTGGCTCTGCCCTGTGCCACCCACTCTGGTGACAGGCCCCCTTCGTCGCCCAAGGTGCCTCCGTGCTCCGCCTACCCCCGCCCCCTGCCTGCGTAACCCCCTCCTGCTGTCCCCGTGACCGTGCCTGTCCCTTCCCGTCCAGCGCCGCCCAGGACAGTCTGATGGGAGCCATACGGAAAGTTAGAAGCGAACGTGATCTTGACTCGAATGATGTCATCTTTGGTCCGTGGTCTCCAACCTGCTTGCGTTTGCACGCGATCTGCATGAAGCCTGTTAACCAGAGGGTCTCTGTTCAACCGAGCGTTTGCTAAAGTCTTCAGGTGCTCGGCGGTGGCCCGCGGTGACGGCTGGCTCGGCCCAGACCCTGAGGCCGTAGTCCCCAGGCCCGGCCGGAGCTGAGCGGGGCCAGCGGGCCTGGGCCGCTCTTGGCGCCATCTGTGGGTACTTCCGTGTCACCTGGGGGCGACGGCCTCTGCCGCCGGGGTTGCCGCGGCGGTGCGCTCCGCGGGGTGCCCGCCCCTCCCGGGCTGCTCGGCCGCGGCTGCTGGCGGGATGCGGGGCCCTCTCCTCCAGGGCGTGGCCAGAGAACGGGGATGCGGCCCGTCCACGCTGGCAGGGCCTGGTCCTCAAGGGCCTCCCTGGACGGCATCTGGGAGGGGCGCCCTCCCCGGCTGGCCTCCCAGGGGCCGAGCTGGGCGCAGTCCGGGCCGCCGAGGGAGGGCCGGCGGGGCTCCGCACAGAGGTGGGTGTGAGTGAGCCACGCGCACCTGTGTGGGCGGGTGTGCACCTGTGACCGTCACGGAACGTGAGCTTGCGTCGAGTGTCGCGCACCCCCTGCCCGGCCTGGGGAGGCGCCAGGACCCTGCTGCCCGGCAGGCTTCCCCGGGCCTTCCCCGTTAACTGGGCACCTCCCCCTGCCCCGGGAGGACCAGCTTGTCTGTGCGTCCTGGGTGCGAACCTGACCTGGAGGGACCTGCTTGCCTTCTGCAGCCCGGAGTCCTCGCTCCAGCCAGCTGTGGTGGGAGCCGCCCTAGAGCCACTGGTTCGGTACTTTTTTTTTTTTGATATTTGTTTCTTTTTGAGAGGCAGAGCGTGAGGGGGGAGGGGCAGAGAGAGAGGGAGACGCGGAATCTGAAGCAGGCTCCAGGCTCTGGGGCTCGAGCTCATGAACCGTGAGATCGTGACCTGAGCAGAAGTTGGATGCTTAACCGACTGAGCCACCCAGGCGCCCCTGGTTCATCACTTTAACATAAAAGCACCGTTAAAAAAAAAGCGCTTTACTGGGGTGCCTGGCCGGCTCAGTCGGTAGAGCATGCAACTCTTGATCTCGGGGTCGGGAGTTCAAGCCCCACGTTGGGTGTAGAGCTTACTTAAAATCTTAAAAATTGTACAGATGTCGTCTCGCAGGACCCCTCCCTGTCCTTGCTCCCTGGGATGGTCCCTCTGACAGGCTGCGCGGGTCCAGCCCCTGTCCTTTTCCAGGGCTGCAAACGTGTATCTCTGAGCACTGTGTGTATTTCTGCATTTTTGAAACAGGTGCTGTTTCGTTGTACCTACGCTTTTATATCCTAACTGTTCACCCACGTGTTTGTGTATGTGCACGTCAGCGTGTCGTTTAGATCATCCTCTTAACTGCGCACTGTTCTAGTATAGAACCCGTCACCCTTTCGCTAGGGTGTGTCGATCCCCTTTTAAAAGCAAAGCCTTTGCCAATGCCGATGCTTCCCTCTGATTATAGGAAAAAGACCGCAGATACGCTCATTACGTGGAAAACTTTTAAGCTCAGAGACCTGGAAGAGAAAACACGGATGACCTTGTGTCCACTCTACCCCTAACTACCACTGCCATCTGGTGGTTTCTGTCTTTTAACATGTACGTCATTTATATAAACGTCTCTTAGTTTGTGTTTTGCCGGGTCGTTAAAACTTTAACGATATGATCTTCGTATTGTGTAAACCCGTCTTGGGTACGTGTTATAACCCTATATAATTGACGAGACGGTCCCCTGTTTTCCAGTATCTTCTTACTCTAAGTAACCTAATCATTGACTCCCTGCCTGTTCCTTCTCTGGAAATTCTGCGGCTCCCTCCCTGCTCTCAGGGCTTCATTGACGGCTTCCCACTGGCGTTACCTGCCACCAACCACGCCTCGCTGCCTGCTGAGCGGGTCCTCCGGGGGTGCGATCTCTCGCCAGACCGCGTCCCTGTGTTCCTGCGTCCCAGAGCCTGGAGCCCTGATCCAGAGGGGTGGACGGTGAGCACAGAGCCTGGATCAAAGGTTGAGGAAGGGGAGCGTGCTGGGAGGAGGGGGGAGAGGGGAGGGAAGGTCCCCTTCTCCGGGCGCCCACAGCGTAGGCCTGTGGGAAGAGTGGGGCTTGGGTCGCCATAACGGATACCACAGACGGGGACTTTGACAACAGAGACTCATGACTCACCCTCCCGCGGGCTGGGGGCGAGAAGTCTGAGGTCAAGGAGCCGATGGGCTGGTATCTCCTGGGGACTCTCTCCTTGGCTGTGTCTTCGCGTGGCCTTTCCTCCGCATGGATCCCTGGTGCCCCTTCTTGTAAGGACACCAGTCCTGGTGCATCAGGGCTCACCCTTGTGAGCTCATTTAACCCCAGTTACTTCCTTAAGGAGCATCTTCGAACACAGCCCCATTGGGGATTAGGAATTTAACCTGTGGATTTGGGGGCACATAATTCAGTCTGATGCTGGGCAAACAGCTTTCCAGTGTGGGAAGCAGGAGGTGCAAAGGCCCCGTGGCAGGACACGCAGGCCTCCCTTGGCTATGAGCCAGGGTGGCTGGAGCACAGGGGAGAGGCGGTGTGGGGGTAGTCAGGACCGGCCTCACTGAGCTTCGGACCCTGGTTCAGGGATGTGGGGCAGCCTCGTCTGGCGGTCAGAACCTGTGGAGGGCTGGGGGCGGAGGGAGGCGTAGTCTGTCTGCCTCGTGGGGGAGAGTGGAGAACGGAAGGCTGATGGTGTTGTAACAAGCCCCTGCAGTCCCCTAAGAAGAAGGGAAGCTGAGGCTCAGAGAATCCCAGTCATTTAACCGAGGCCACACGGTTCTCGGTGTGCAGACCCCACACCCTCCGTCCCTTTGTTGTCAGACTGCAGAGAGTGTGACATTCCTTTCGAAGCCGTCTCGGGGGCACGTGCCTCATGGCTGGTGCTGTTCTAGGACACGGCTCAGCGGTCTGCAGCCCGCGGGCCACATGTGGGCCGTAGCCTGTTCCTAAGCATCCCGCACGCTTCAAATGGCTTTTACGGCCTTGAGTTGTGACAACAGGACAAACCAAGCAGAATTTCCGCCAGACCTGGCGTGTGGCCGCGAAGCCTGGCACGTTTGCTCTCCGGCCCTTCCTGGAAACGCGGGCCCGCGACTCTTCTGGAACGTCGGCGAGCGGAGCCTGGCGCCACACTCGCGGTGGGCACCACGGAAGGCCGCGTGTGGGGAGGTGACCCGACAGGACGTCGTGGAAGTGGCCCCGTGAAGACCTGGAAGGACTTAGCAGGGTGACCCGCCCCCAGGGTGCAGCGGGGGTCTCGGGGAATCCTTTCGGTGACAGGCGCTCCTGCCTCTGGGCTGCTGTCCCGCACGTGCTAGTTAACGGCTCGCTGAGTTTGCATCGTCAGGTCGGTCCCCTCTGTGACCCTTTGACTCGAAGAGTACTCGTGTACGGCACGCAGAGGACGAGCCGAGATGCCACGTTTGAGAAAACCTGGGAGTCTGGTGGCTGTTCCCTTCTCCGTCCGGGAGGAGAGAGGGCAGGAAGCCAGGCGGCCCCTGGAGGGCAGGCGGCCCTTTCGTTGTCCGCGCTCGGAACAACGGTGGGTGCGGAACGGGATCCGTGGGCTCTTATCTGCCCCTGCGGACGGCCCTCGTCGTAGCCACGTGTCCCGGAGCGGGGCTGGCTCGGCTGCCCCGGGCACGGTCGGGGCGGGGAGAGGGGCCTGGCGCGCAGCACCGTGTTCCCTCTTGCTCCTTGTAGAGGTGCGATGGGGACCGAGCGTCGGCCAAGCGCGGGAGAGCCTGGCCTCGAGAGGCTCCCGGTCTGCCGGAGGGGCAGGCACGTCGTGGGATCGACGCAGAGGACGCAGAGCCACCAGCCCGAGGCCACCCATTTGAGGGAGGACAGCTCTGGGCCGCGGTCTCGGGGCTGCAGGAAGTATCCGTCTGTTTAGGTCGAGTTCGGTCCGTCTTCAGCCCCCTCCGTCTGAGCGGGTCGGGATCCCAGCTTTGGATGTGCCCGGGCTGCGTGGCCTGCAGAGGAGAGGCCAGAGCCCACAGGCTCGGGTGTTTTCTGGAGAAGGCCGGGTGGCGCCCTGGGGCTGGGACGTGTTGGCGGCCCTGGCACCCCGGCTGGCTCTGTGGTGCCTAAGAGCGGGACGGCCACCCTGGTGGTCTGGCCCCCACCGTCCCAGGCCCCGTCCCAGGCCGTTTCCTCCCCGAATCTGGGTCCAGTTCCTGGGCAGAGCCGTCGCTCCTCCGGCCTGGCCGGGCAGACGCGTTCTTGGCGTAACTTCTGCATCTGATGCCCAAAGCCAGCGTGTGCAAGGGCCCGGGGGTAGGGGGCAGGGACACGCCAGGTTAGCCTCTCTGGGGGTGTCCTGCTGCCATCTGACCTGCCTGTGTGTGACAGGCATGTGAAGCGTGACCAGATCACAGGAGGGCAAACAGCTGCCCGAGAGGGAGGGGAGGCCTCCCTGGAGGGGGCACAGTAGGGCTGCCGGCTGGGGCTGAAAGGTCCCAGAAGGAAAGCAGAAGTGGGGTGAGGACTGGGCGGCCCGGAGAGCGCCTGGGTGAGGGGAGGGCAGTCCGTGTGAGGCAGAGGCGCCCAGGCAGCTGTTAGGTTTGAGATTCTCCTTTCTGCCTGCAAGACCGTGGCGCCACGAGGGTGGCGTGGGCCATGCTGGAAGGGGGTGGGGCCCCGCAGGAACCTTCCGACTGGGGGCGGGTCCTAGCCCGGGTGGGGGTGGGTGGGGGAGTGAGGGGTGTGGCACGGAACCCCCGGAGGGGAAATGGTGCGGGACCTGGACCTGGGGAGCGCGGTCCCGTGCAGTGCTGAGCTATGTGGACCCCTCTTCTCACAGCGGCCGCACGATGGGTCTGTGTCCCCCACAGGCCCGCGGGGCAGCCTCTACGGAGCGGGTGGGTCCACGGCGCCCCTGAGGATCTGGGGCACGTTCTGAAGGTCAGCGGGTCTCTCTGCTTGTTTCCGGGATGGATTCTTGTGTTTATTTTTCCAATTTTAAGATAAAGGAACACCGGGTGTAAGTCGGAGAGATCTCCGGGTTATCCTGGGGCAGCCTCCTTTCCCACCTTGCGAGGGTGAGGCAGTGCCTTCTCCCGGGGTGTCTGAGCCCTGGTGCCCCAGGCTCCCGGCCTGCTGGGTGTCCCCCCTGCCCACGTGTTCCTCTTGTGTGTGGGGCTGGGGAAGGAGGCTGAATTTGGGGGTGCAGATACCAACTTGCCGGGGAACCTTGAGTCCTTTCCCTCGTTTACTTGGCTTGTCTCCAGCAGCCCTCGGTAACCCCACTGCTTCGTGCACAGCCCCGCGGGACCCCTCCGTGTGTCGTGCCGGGTTGGGGGGGGAGAGCCCTCTTGCCTCCCCAAAGCGAGATTTGAAGGAAAACTCTCAAGGTGAAGGGATTCAAATGACCTCCCAGTGTTTATTTTTCTCTTCAAAGAGAAAGCTTCTTTTAAATATTTGTTTTTAACGTGTATTTATTTTTGAGACACAGCATGAGCCGGAGAGGGGCAGAGAGGGAGGGAGACACAGAATCCGAAGCAGGCTCCAGGCTCCGAGCCGTCAGCACAGAGCCCGATGCGGGGTTTGAACCCATGAACCATGATCATGACCTGAGCCGAAGTCGGATGCCCAACCGGCTGAGCCCCCCAGGCGCCTCAGGGTGTCCTGTTCTTAGGAGTCCCCTGTACGTATGTAACCGAACTTCTTCCCTGTTACCCTTATTGGTCAACTTGATTATTAGGCCACAGAACCTGGAAGAGCAGAGGAGAAAACTCTCCACCCCCGAGGCTGGTGTGGAGGGCACGTCTTCACTGCGGGCCATTCCTCCCCCCGCGGTGGCTGCGGCTGGGGTCCTGGGCCTCCGACCAGCGCTGCCCGCGGGGGGTGAGGACTTTTCCCGTGCTCCTGTCCCAGTCTCTGCCTGCAGGGTCTGGCGGAGGGGAGAGCGGAGAGTCCGTTTTTCCTTTTACAAACCCAGACCAGCAGGAGAGAGTATCTGTGGAACGAGTTCCTGGGATCCAGCGACTCGGGTGAAGGTTTGTTACGAGCACTCTTGGTTTTTATCGATCCTTTTCCTCCCGGAGATGGTCACTGCCTTTTGTCTTTGTTGCGTGTTTCGTCACAGGGCAGAGTCACCACCGGGCAGGGCCAGCCCCCGAGGCTGGCGTCGCTGGGGTTGAGGTGCGCGGAGGTCGAGGCCTTGCTAAGGGGCGTCTCGGGAGCCACGGCTGTGCGGCTGGTGGGCACGCATGTAGTTTCCAGGCCGCCGGAGTGGTGGCCGCCGATCTCACAGGCTCTGCGTGAGGGTAGGTTGGCCACGTGACGGGTTAGATTGTGTCCCCGCCAACTGCAAGAAAATTCCGTACGGGAGGTACTCTGTGAGACCCCATGGTCCGCAGCCCAGAGGCGCATCCCTCTCGGGCGTCCGTGTGGCTCCAAGAGACCCACAGCTCAGCTGGGAACAGCTATGAGGTTCTCCTCGCGTCTCGCTGTCTGTCCTGATGGCCGACTTGGTGACCGGTGAGTGCATCGTGTCCGGGCTCCGCCAGCCAGACGGTGCACTTACTCGGGTGTGTCTGGTGGCCGGCTGAACCGGCTGGGGACCCCAGACCCAAAGCCACCAGCGGCGCTCTGTCGGGCCACGCCAGCTCTCGGGAACTTGCCGTCAGGGGCTTTCGTTCTGTCCACCTTTGTGGTCTTGCCGGTGCTGGAAAAGCCCCATTCCAGCCGCACCTGCTCGGGGCCCTCGATTCGCGGGACTCCGGAGGCACCTCCCCTGTCGGGAAACTGGACACGCGGTTTATCCCATTCTGACCACCTGCGGGCCTTGAGCGTTCGCTTGCCGAGGCTAACTGCACATTTTGTGTCCTCGAGGGTGTGCGTCTTCTCTCCACCTGGGAAGCCTTTCTGCGGCTTAACCAGCATCACTGTGGGGTGAACCTACCACCCTACTGGTTAATGGCCAGATGATGATCCTTTGAGTTGGTCGTATTTAAAGAAAAACTTGTTTTAGAGAGCGCTTCTCCTAAACAAGGGCCTGGCTGGCGTCTACGGAAAAGACCGAATTCAAAAGCAGATGAAAAGTCTAGGGGCATCAGGGACTCCCTTAACTGGATGAAAGAACAGAAATTATGTAAAAATTAAACTCGACGTCCAGTGTCGGTTCCCCCTTCTTAGAGTCCGAAGCGTTTGTCACCCCACCTTCCGCCACACCTGTCTCGTGTCAGAACCGTCATCCTGGAAGCCGTTAGGCACCCGCAGAAGTGGCACATTCCCACTGAGCTCATTTTGTGTCCCGAGAACTGGGCTTGGCCAGGTTGGGGACTCCAAAATCTGGCCACACGTCCCTGTGGGCTGCATCCTGCTTGCGGCCGGATCTGGCTGGACAGAGATGTGGGCCAACCTCCCCCACCCCCATGCGGCCAGGGTCCTTCCGCCACGCTGCCCGCCCTGGGCTGGTGGGGGGATTACAGCCAGGATCCCCCAGTGTAGTTGGGAATGTCGGTTCGGTGGAGTCCCAATCTCCTTTCGAGAAGAACCCCCGATGCATGGGACTCGGGGAGGCCGAACGGCCGAAGGGTCCTGACCAGGGCCGCTCTTGGGTGAACGCCCGAGGGCTGTCGGCAGAACCTGATCCCTGACTGTCCGCTTGGGTATTCTGCGCATTGTGTCTCTAATTGGTGTTTAGCATCGGCTGTGGGAGGCTGTGTTTGGATATACCGACCCCTTCCCGTACTTCACGGTCTTGGGAAACATGGAAAAGAACTGTGGTTTTAACCGAAAGGGCAGGACGGTCCACCCTTTTGAGCTGTTTTGCTCAAGCCTTGGTTGAAATTGCCCCTGCTTTGATCCAACGGCCGGGAAGACGAAGGCGGGGTCCTCGCTGCCGGCCTCCAACTGCTCCACGTTCGTGGTGTCTCTGCCCGGCAGAGGAAGGGGCGCGTGCGCGTGACTCACGGAGCCATCTGGCCGCCCTTCGCCCAGCGTATGCCGACTTGTACCGATGGGGAGACCTTAGGGTGGAGCCCCGCGTGGCTGCAACATACTTCCGTGGACCCTGCCGAACAAGGCAAGGGACGGTTTTATCCTTACAGAAAATGGCTTTTGCCAGCCTTTTGAAATACGTTTGTAAAGAGGGACAGTTGTGATCGACACATGAATTACTGTTGGCCAGAGTGACACTGGCGTGTCCCTCGGCCACCAGGGACAGCCTGGGTAAGGGCGACTGCTCCCGGCGCCTCGCGGGACTGACGGGCCAGCCAGAGCTCGGGGTCAGGAGCTGAGGCTTCTGCTGGCACGCTGTAGGAAATGGGGATCAGGGACGTCTTTTCCTCTTTCTTTCCTACAGATGGCCAATCCTTTGGGATGTATTCTGGAAAAGCGGGATGACTTTGATCCACAAACCCTGAAGAGAAAGCGACTCCTTTTCTTTGGCACCGAGACTTGGCCCCAGTACAAATGGGAGGAGGAAACCTGGCCGCCAGAGGGAAGTACCAGTCGTAACATCATCCTCCAACTGGACTTACTCTGTAAACGTGAGGGGAAGTGGAGGAAGTCCCCTACATCCAGTGTTTTGGGGCCTTAAAAAAATGAGGTACGTGTAAGCAACGTAAGGTCGATCCTGGCCTGTTGGCAGCCGTTTCCGAGGGCTCCCGGCCAAGAAGGGGGGGACCTAAGGCCCTGCCTGTACCCACAGCAAACCCAGAGAGAGGAAGGGACGTCTCCTACCTCGGTCTCCTCCTCATCGGGTCCTCAACGTCCAGACTTACAAACACGCGCTTCTCCCTGCCGCCCACCTTAGCCAGGCCCTGCCCGTAACGTGGCCGACACGTGTCCCCTACAAGAAGCTGGGGTGCAGGAAGGGGGACGCGGGGAGGCACGGCCGTGGTAAGATTACCAGCACTTTTTTCATTACGGGATTTAAGACAGATAAAAGGAGATCTAGGTAAATTTTCTGGTGATCCAGAGAAGTATATAGAGGCTTTTCAGAACATTACAGTAGGTATGAGTTGATGTGGAAAGATACGATGCCATTGTTGAATCAGACTCTTTAAAAAAGTTTTTTTTAATGTTTATTTTTGAGAGAGGCAGAGCGTGAGCAGGGGAGGGCAGAGAGAGAGGGAGACACAGAATCCGAAGCAGGCTCCGGGCCCCAAGCTGTCAGCGCAGAGCCCGACATGGGGCTCGAACCTACAAACTGAGATCATGATCTGGGCTGAAGTCGGACGCTCAACCGACTGAGCTACCAGGCGCCCCTGTTGAATCAGACTCTTTCTTAAAAATTTCCGTTTGATGTTTATTTTTGAGAAAAGAGAGAGGAAATCAGACTCTTATTGAGACAGAAGCATGGGGTTCTGGCAGTGGCTGGAAGACATGGGGACGAGCAGCTCGTTAATTGTCATGGGACTGGAGGGTCCTATAGGGGACTTTTAGTTCCCTACTGGGGCTCAGGCATCCCCCCGCCCCCCCAAGATCCTAATTGGGACTATGACCATCCCACTGGGGAATGGTGTCACCATTTCCAAGCCTGTATTTTGGAAGGATTAAGAACTAAGGTTGAGCCCTTAAATTATGCTAAATTAGCCACTATCTCAAGACACAGGGTGAAAGCCTGGGGGCCTTCCTGGAAAGGTTAAGGGAGGGTGTCATTAAATATACGGCTATCTTCCTTAACACCTTGAGGCCAAGACGTTTCTGAAGGGCAGATTTTTCACTCAGTCAGCCCCAGATAGTCGATGGAAGCTACAAAAATTGGCTGTTGGCCCGGAAGGGACCCTGGAAGCTCTTACGAACTGCCTCTCGGGTATGTTACAACCAAGATAAAGAGGAGAATGAAGAACCGGAAAGGAGGCTTAAAAACAACACAACCGAGGCCTTTGCCGTGGCCTTACGTACTGTGTCAGACCAGACTTCCCGAGGCCCTGGCGCCAAGTGCCATATATGTGGCTGTTAGGGCACCGGCAACGAGAATATCCTCAGAGGGGACAACACAAGTTGAAGACCCTCAATCTGCCAGGGCTCAGGTAACCGTGTCCCCGAAAGGGCTCTCAAACCTACCACCTGTTGGAAGCTCAGAGCCTCGGTAACTCTGGGAACAGAGGGAAAACCGATTGATTTCCTTCTTGACCGCGGAGCCACCTGGTCTGTCCTTTCCGCTCCTGGCCGAGCGTCCAAATGCAACGTAAGGACTAGAGGCGTCTCCGGAAAACTGAGGACTAAATTTTTCTCTCAGCCACCGGGGTGCATGTGGGGAGACCTGGTTTTTTCACATTCTTTTTCACAATGCCAGAGAGCCCCCCCGCCACCCCTCCTTTGCTGGGAGGGACATTACGACTGGATGAGGGACTAGGGTGATACTGGCCCCAGGACACATGAACAGTTGCCTGAACTTACAGTAATCTGGATGCCGAAGGTCAGTGTCCCCTTGAGGTAAAATTCTGCCTCGTGGAGTTGTTCCCATGGAAACTGGATGGCCAGCGGATGGAGAGCCATGAACTGGTTCAGGAGCTTAATCATTCTAATCAGCCATAACACAAGATCCAAAAACATGGAGGAGGGAGGAAGAACTATGGTTAAATTGCCAACAACAATAGGACCAGACACGTCGGGGACTCTGGATGGCTACCGTGTGCGTGTCTTCCCTTGGCGTGAGCCCCTCCCTAGGAGGCATCGCATTTGGAAATACTATTGCTTGCTGGTCTAATACTCTGTTTGTAGGTCATTTGTAGAAGCTGTTGCACACGCCAGGAGAATAAGACCTCCAAGAAACTTCCGCTAGCCCTGACGTTCCAAACACCCTCCCATCACGTCCGCCTCCGGATGGACCTCTGGGCCTGCCCTGACTGCCATTCCCCTGTTCCCGCTCCCCTTCGGGAAGCGGTGAAGGTGGGGGGTCATCCGGGTTCCTAATGGTAGTCGGGAGTCACGTGTTCAGAGGGGGGGTAGGGAAAGACAGGGGTACATAGGCAGAGAGGGAAAGGTTAAGACCTGAGGCCACTGGGTGGGAAAAGCACAAGTATTTTGGAACGGTGCTGGGAGCTGCTGACCACAGCCAACGCCCTGGGGCGTGAGGTTCCTAAGAATGTGACAGAGCCCACCTACTCCCCTTCCGGTTTCCCTCAGGAACTTGACAAAAGAGTTAAGTGTGGCCATAGACCGCCCCCCACACGCTGGAGTCGGGCCCATCGGGAGCGGACAGTCCAGCACCCGGAGCTACCAAGCCAACAAGGGTAGGACCTGACAAGGGACAAGGGGGAAGGAGGGGGAGGGCGACCAGAACCTTGTAAGACAAGGACTCTTGCCTAGAGGCCCCGGGGATTCACTTGCAGACGTCCCCCTGTACAGAGAGCTTTCCTGCTGTGCTTCCTTTCTGATCTGATACTCTGATACGCTTCTCAGCTGCTCGTTTTATTGTGTCCCCCTCTTCATTCTTCAAAGCAGTGAGACAGCAAACCCGGGTTTTGAGGTAAAAAAGATCCTCCAACACTAGCATGAAGTTCTTGGGTGAGCTTGCAAAGTCGTTTCCCCAGATATTTTGGTAACCTGGAACCTTAAAGCTTTGCTAAGTTAGATGAGAAGATAAATTCCTTGAGCATCTGGGTCATGACTGAAACTAACTGCTGAGCTCAGGGATCTCCTTTCACTTCCCCCGCTAAAAGGAAGCCAATGGATCTTTGGGCCTATTAGTAAACATGTTTTCCACATTAAGCAAAACTGCACGACGAGGAAGCCTGTGTCTCTAGAAATTGGAAAACCTGAGTACGTTTTATGATCTAGAGAATGCTCCTGTGACGGTTCACAATTGCTTGTTGGCTTTCACTAGAAATTAAGGGTTTCTAGGGCTTAAAAATTCTAATATGATGGAAGCCACTAGAAATAATAAGGAAACCTCTCCGTATGCACAGAAAGTGTGATTTTGTAAAAAGGAGGGTCGGAGGAATGGTGATGTGCTTTTGTCGAGGACAAAGAAACTTGTAGGTTTGTGGAAAAGGAGGCTTTGGAGAGAAATTTTAACGTGTGGCCAAGCTGGCTAAGATTACAATTAAATTTTAATATCAAAAGTAAGTGGCACAAAATTGGTTTTTGCTCTGAAAAACGAAGTTTTCTTGAACTTCAGGTTTGCTGTTGACAACAGTTGATAAAAGTTTCTTTACTTTTCAAGTAACCCACCAGAAAGCCAAGATCTGGTGCCTTACCAGGTCTTTGTTTTCTGGCACTTTGACTAAATCAGCCACTAAGTACTGTCTCACAATGGTCTGTGACCCTCTGTAGTCAAGTGTCCAAACGTGTTGATATTTTCAACAAACTTACCCAAATCGAAGTCTAAATAAGGCCTTTACTGACCTCGAACTAAGTTTTGAGAATTTCCAGAGGGTCCCTGAACATCTCCAAAGGTTTGTTCTCACTTACACAAAGAATGATGTTCTGCTAATTAGGCTTATTTGATCGTGTTAAATTCTATGGAAAGCATGTGAAATACATGATGACAACCCACTGTGTCGGTAAATATTAATGTTCTGCAAGTTCTGAGATCCCCACACACCTAGAATATCCTGGATAGCATCACCAGTCATAACCACAGTTCTCTCCGAATGTTACGTTCAGAAATAATCAAGTCGCTCTGTCGGTTCCGCGTCACGGACTCCCGTCGGATCTCTGACATCGGGAGTCTTGTCGTTGCCCTTTGGTGCCCTGCCAGTGTCCTGCGAAGGCACCTCCCTCCAAGGAGTCACGGAAAGGACTGACAGGAAGGACCTGACATCGTGAAAGTGAGCGGGATGAGAAACTCTAGAACTAATAACGAGGAATGGATTCAAGCAGAACAAGTATTAGATGGAACCGAATGGATTCAGAACTATAATTTTACGGCTTCTGCTTTGAAACACTGCCTGTTCTTTACCTTTTTCCAAACTTAAGAAAGCCTTCTCTTTTCTCATGGGATCAACAATTTAAGACATTGCTTTGTGAACAAAGGTGAACATTTTTCTCCCTCTTTGGCCCCTCCAGAATTTGCAAACTTCGTATTCTTGTGCAAGTGTACTGCCACTCAAATGAGTGATTTAGGAATCCGTTCTTGTAACAGGACATGATTGGGAATGTTGGTTGTATTACCAGGCTCTCACCACAAGGTCTTATTTGAGGGAGATGTAAAGACTCCGAGATGATCGGCTTTCAGGAACTAAGGCTGACCTTAATGGAGCCTATGAAGGCCTTGCTTACAGGGTTCCTGGCGGCCTGACCCGGTGTGGAGGGAAGGTCACTTCTTGGCAGGCCCAAGAATCTCAGGAAATGTTTGGAACCTTGAGAAGAGAGGAATTCACCCAAATCTGTATGTATTGCAGGCAAAGTCTGATGATGGCTCCTTAGCGTGGCTTCTCAGCCTGGAGAGTCTTTCAAAGTTCACGGGAGATTCCTTATGGAAAGTCTGAGCAAAGCAGACTTAAAAGTCTGTATGGTGAGCACTCTTCTTCTGCAGTTATGTAAATAACAAGGCCAAGGTACTGAAACTGTGAAAACAGAGTTAGTCTTGCTGTGAATATGGGGGTGACTGTAGAGAGAAATTGTTTCAGTAATATGCCTTCGTGGACAGCAGATTCTAGTGCCGTCAGCGGCCCGTGAGGTTTTGTTTTTACCTGTAAACTGGACTAGATCCCGAGTTCTTCTATTTTCTTCCTATATTTGGCTGCAACTCTCCAAACTGGCATTTCCAGTTCACCCCCTCCCCGCCACCAGTCCTTCTGACTCGGAATCGTTGAGAACCACAACTGCCCTTTCCCTGAAGCCGTGCAGGTTACAGCCGGACACCGTCACATAAAGTTCAGAGAAACCACAACAGCTCACGTGCGGATAACTGCCGTGCCTGCTGCTGTGCGGGCCACTCGGAGAGCTCGCCAGACGGCCTCCCTGCAGGCCAGGCCCGTCTGTCTCGTTTCCACTGTCTGCTCCACCCCACCTGAAGATGCCGCAAGCCGGGCATCTGGACGTCTGTGCGCCTGGCTGCCTCCGGAACTCACCGAGACCAGATCTGCTCCCCAAATTAACCTTCATTTTTCTTTTGTCTCCCCAGAAATTCCTCTTATTAAATATCTGATGACTTGCCCCCAGACCTAACTCGGGAGCCTCCTGAAACGGAGCCGGCTGCTTAACTGAACGGCCCCGTCGTCAGGACTGGGAGGCTGGCTCAGTGACCCGGAGCGGTCCATCAGCCCAGAAGTTTGAGAGGTGGGACCGAGGCCAGGAGAGGATATGCGACCCCCAGATACGCTGCTCTGGCACGTGGATTAAATTGAGCTAAAGACCATCAGGATGTAGCAGATTTAAGAAAAAACTTGCCTCTCGCTTCTTGGAAGGGTTTGGACAGGAGGCCTAGCCCCCGGCGGGAGCTGTTACCGGCTATGAACTTTTATCTGAATGACCCATCCGCACAGCAGGGCAAACGTGTCATGACCACAGATACGTTGTCGTTACGGTCCTGTGAAGCCCCAGGCCTCCACCCCTTCCTCCGCTCAGGACGGCAGAAGCCTCCGCTGCCGGGCTCGTCCCGGGGTCTCATATTCTTATGGGGCCCCTGTGTGTATGTGATCAAACTTGTCTCCTGTTAACCTGTCTCGTGTCAGTGTATTAGACCAACCGAAGAACCTAGAGGGGTAGAGGGGAAAACTCCCTTCCTCGATAGTGTGTAGATACTGCACACGTGTCCCGACCCTCGGGACGAAAGACCACGCAAGGACACACGTCCTGGCCCGCCTGCTTGTACACACAAGTGCTCTCCCCTGCTTGTGTTACGCATCAGAAGCCCCCGTGTCCCGCTCCCGGTGATGTACAAAACACTGAAGAGAGACAGTGGTTTCTTTCACCCACCGCCAGGCCTGTCCAAGGTGTGTGGCGTTGGATGAAAACGAATCAGATGAGGACAAGTGACGTGTTTACTTCTGGGCCGCAAAGGAGGGAACGAGAGAGAAGGCCGTGTGTTTGGTATTTCTCTGCCTTTATGCTCACCTGGACTGGAGGAGTTACAGAGAATGGGTGGTTGGTCAGCGTTCCTCTGCGGACAGTCAGAATGAAGAGCGGAAGCAGGTCAGCTCCCGGGAATAAAAGGGACGCGGTGCCTCACACGGACCCCGCCTCCCGGACACCACGTTCGTGAACCGTGGCAGAGTCGCGGGCACTCGGCCGCCTGGAGTCTAACAAACCGCTCGCCCGAGGGTCTGGGCCCGGCCGTGGCTCCGGGTGAAGACGACCCTCCCCCGGGTCCCGGGGAAAGGGGGGTCCTCGGAGCCAGCGGTCAGGTCAGGGTATCCGCTCCGGCAGACGTGCTGCACAGGGGCCCCGTGGCCCCAGAAGGCGAGCGTCCTACGCCAGCTTGAGGCACTGTGTGTTGAAGCTGTCCCCTTCTTTGCTGGCGACGGCCTCGAGCAGAGCCTGCTTCTTCTGCGCGCTGCGGGAGGACTCCAGCTCGTACATGGTGGTCAGGTTGAAGAGCACGCTCTCGTGCAGGTAGTGCGTGGGGTCCTGCTGGACCATGGCCTCCAGCTGCCGCAGGGAGTCCTTGAGTCTGCCCAGGTAGAGCAGACACACGGCGGCGTTGTTGTTGGCCTGGACGGGAGGGACACGTGCACGGGATCGGACACCAGCCGTGTGGTGGCCCCCGAAACCCTCTCCCAACCACCGTGACACCGGCCGACGGCTCAGGACGGGCCCACAGCCGCGAGCTCCTGTGTCCTCTAGGATCTTACCACTGCGTTTGTCGGCTCAATCCTTAGGATTTCTGTGAAGAACCTGTGGGCTTCTGCAAAGTTATTCTGACCGAGGTGAAGGAAGGCTCTGGAACGTGAACGACAGGTAAGGCAGTTAACTGGGAAGAGGGGAGAAGCGGGGGGAGGGGGGGCTCCCCAGATGCACGCACAGGTATGTGAAGACACCAAAACACAGGCATTCAAGTAGCCAGGGGACCGAGAACAACGAGCAGTTACGCAAATTGATGTTGAAAACGGGGGCAATATGAACAGTACTTTGAAAAACGGGGGAGAAATCTTAAAACCTGTCACTTGACTGACTGCTGTTTCAGTGCTGGGAAGGGGACAGGAATAAGGAATGTTCTCTAGAGGGGCTTCAGGAAGCGGAGCCTTGAACTCCTGGGACATTTGAGAAAACGTAGTTTTGAGAGCTTTACCTGTTCATTAAAACCATTATTTTGCCTTGTGGTCCGTCCAACTTCTGCGTCACTTTCTCCACATCTTGAAAATACTTCTCAGCTGTTTTTATGTCTCCAATCTGCTTTGACAGAATTACTGAGTCAGGTCAGGTGACAAAACCAGTAAACGTACAGCCACACAGACCGCTGCCCGATGGGTTAGGCAGGAAAGCTCTGATCGCCATCACTGATCGTTACTTTTTGTAAAAGCGAATCCCATTTAGGACACGATGGAACATCAACACGTTTATATCAGAAATGAAGTTAATGTACGAGTCTTATTAAAAAGTCTTAAATGTGAGGGGCGCCTGGGTGGCGCAGTCGGTTAAGCGTCCGACTTCAGCCAGGTCACGATCTCGCGGTCCGTGAGTTCGAGCCCCGCGTCGGGCTCTGGGCTGATGGCTCAGAGCCTGGAGCCTGTTTCCGATTCTGTGTCTCCCTCTCTCTCTGCCCCTGCCCCGTTCATGCTCTGTCTCTGTCTGTCCCAAAAATAAATAAACGTTGAAAAAAAAAAAAAAGTCTTAAATGTGAATCCTAGCATAGCATTAAGTAAAAATAACAAATGACGGTTTTCAGGGAGGCGGCAGAGGAGGACCGACGCTCGTCTCCCGCCGCGGATCCTAGAAAACACGCACGTTACTGCTGACAACCCAGAGGGCAATCCGAAGCCCGAAGAATAAACACCAGGGGTGAAGGCAGAGAGGAGGCCACACGGGAGAGGGGAGAGGGCAGGAGCTAAGCCCCCACGGGCACAGAGATGGGTGAGAAGAAGGTGATCACAGCAGGGAGCCCAGCCGGGAAGACAAATCCCCAGAGTGTCTGGCTCTGAAAATCAGAGGGGCTGAATTTTGTGAGTTCTTACAAGCAGCAGGACTAAGCAGCAGGACTTGAAGCCTGGAACTGTGAAAACCAGCGTGCTTGGGCTCTGGGAGAGGAGGGTGATGGGGTGACGGAGAGCTGGGTCCCTGCCCGTAAAGGGACAGCACAGCAAACGGCCCGGAGATCCAGATTAGAAGCAGCGTCCTGAAAGAAGCCTGGGGTGTGAGGGAGGGAGAGTGAGTTCCTGAGGGACTTCTCCAGGAGCAGAGGAGGGGGCAGGCGCCGTCTCCCTCCCCCGCCCGCACCAGGACACCTGCACTCACTACCTACCCTTACACCTTGCCCTGCCCCAGTCCTGGTGCCGCGGGTCCCCTCGCCCCAGAGACCGGCTTGCCAACAGTGTGGCCCGACTTCCCCGGGAGGAAGCGCCCACCGTGTTAAAACCGCAATCCCCCTCCCCCCGCGCAACAGGACGGGCGTGCACACCGCCCGTGGGTGCTTTGCAGGGTGGCCCTGGCCGGCCGGGTCTCCACAGCAGCTGCGCTTCCTCTGTGGAAGAGATCAGTGCCTTTCATTAAAAGCGTGCAACCTGCCTGTCACTTTCAAGAGCGAGAGACGTAGCAGACTTTCCCAACACGCACACGCACACCCACAGTGAGGCAAAACGAGGGGAAGGGTATGTCCCAAATGAAAGGGCAGAATTGCGGCAAGAGACCCAAGTGAAAGCTGGAGGCCGGCGGTGCCTTCCAGAGAATTCAGTGATCACGAAGATATTCGCTGGACGTGAGGCAAGAGTGGAGGACATCAGGGAGACCCTCGGCACAGAGAGAAAAACCAATCGGAGATGAAGAACACGATACACGAAATACAAAATACACTAGATAGAATAAACGGGTGAGAGGAAGCCGAGGGGCGAGTTAGCGACGCGGAGGACAGGGTGATGGAAAGTATCAGGCTGAGCAAGTAAGAGAAAGTGCAAAATGTGGGGGGGAACTTAGGGAACTCAGGGACTCCATTGAGAATCCTAACATTCGCACTGCACGGATCCCAGAAGAAGAGGAGAGAGAAAAGGCAGAAGATTTACCTGAAGAAGTAGCTGAAAACTTCCCTAATTTGGGGAAGGAAACAAAAATCCCTCCAAGAGGCGCACGGAGCTCCCAACAAAATCAACCCAAGGAGGTCCACGCGAAAAGTAGCAACAAAGGAAACATGTTACAAGCCACGAAAGAAAAGATGACAGTGACACACGAGGGAAACCCCGTAAGGCTACTCGTGGACTTTTCAGCAGAAATCCCAGCCAGAAGGGAGCGGCACGATACAAAGTGCCGAAGGGGAAAATGTGCAGCCGGGAATTCTCCATCCCGCCAGGCCGTCGTTCAGAACGGCGCTTGCTTTGGGAGCACATGTACTAAAGTCAGGACACCACAGAGAAGATTAGCACGGCCCCTGCATGTAACAGAAGGAGAGATGAAGACCTTGCCAGGCAAACAAAAACTGAAGGGCTCATGGCCACTGAAGCAGCCCTGCGGGAAACATTAAAGGGAACCCTTTGAGTGGAAAAAAGACCATAAGTGAGAGTATGAAAAGTAAGAAACACAGAAGCAGTAAAAATATATCTGTAAAACTCAGTCAAGGGAATCCCAAAATAAAAGGACGTAAAGTGTGACACCATATGCCTCAAATCTGGGGCGGTGGGGAAATGAGCAGAAAGGGCTCAAACTTAAGCGACCATCAACTTAACGTAGACTGCTGTATGCAAAAGATGTTATATACGAAGCCAATGGGAACCACAAATCAAGAACCAGTAATAGACACGCACAGAATAAATAAAAGGAACCCAAGTGTATCATTGAAGAAACCCAACAGATCATGAAAGAAAGCAAGAGAAGAAAGGATCACAGAAAAACTTCGTAGCCACCAAACAAGTATTGAAGTGGCAATAAATACATATCTATCAATAATTACTTGAATGCAAGTGGACTAAACGCTCCACCGAAAAGGCACAGGGTGACAGAGTGAATAAAAAAACAAGACCTATGCATATGCTACGTACAAGAGACTCCTCTCAGACCTAAGGACACCTGAAGACTGAAAGTGAGTAGACGGAGAAACACTTGATACAGATGGGTGTTAAGAGAAAGCCAGGGCAGAAATGCTTCTACAAGACAACACAGGCTTTAACACAGACTGTAACAAGAGACATAGAAGGACACTATGTGATAATAAAGGAGACGGGGCTGCTTGGGTGGCTCAGTCGGTTGAGTGTCTGACTCCTGATCTTGGCTCAGGTCGTGATACACGGTTCATGGGACTGAGCCCCATGTTGGGCTCCGTGAGGACAGCCTGCTTGGGAGTCTGTCTCTCTCTGCCCCTCCCCCACCCATGCTCCCTTCTTTCTCTCAAATAAATAAACATTAAAAACAATAAAGAGGACAATCCAACAACATATAACGATAGTAAATATTTGTGCACCCCAAATGGGAGCAACCAAATACACAAAACAGTTAAAAAGAAACTGATAATAATAGGGGACTTTTATCACCTCACTTACGTCAATGGACAGATTATCCAAACAGAATCAATAAGGAA